TGCCTCTGAACCCCCCCCCCCCCCCCCCCCTCTATCCTGTAATTAGGGCTTACTGAGGATTAGGGTTAACTTAGGGTTAATAAGAGGTTAAATAAAAACCATTTATTTCCACGTGTGAGACTTCTGGAGCTGACATTATGTGTAGATCAAAATACACTGTAGCAATAAACCTATCACAATGTATTTATCAGTGAAAATTCATGCAAACACTGCAGGTTATGGGTTAAACAGACTGGAAACATGTTTAAACTATACTTACAATTAATAGAAGGCACCTCTATGTGCCTACATGCTGCCTCTGATCCCTGACACTGTTTGCAGGCTTCATTCACAAAGGAACCAATGTCTGTGCTCCTCAGACACAGAACAGGACTCAGTGGTTTTTGTCCATTTTATTCCAGTGATGTTGCCACACAGAGTGGCCATGGCAGGGAAGAAATCCCTGGGCATACAAAGTATGATGCTTAGATTTTGTTTTAGCTCGTTTACTCAAAGCACACAACCGGCTGTTAAAAAATACTTTTTAACAGATTAGCCCAATTAAATCTGCAGCTAAGTTTTTGAAAATCCTCAAAATGTATATAACTGATCTAGAGAGGATTGTTTGTTTATAAACAAAAGTGGACTTGTAATTTAATGGTAGATATGGCATTAACATCATCACCTTAGTGTACAAGAAGCCCTTTCTTTATTGATGCTATGGCAGCAACATGTCAATATCAAAGCATAATGTGGGGGCATCTCTATAGCTACTGCATTCTGTGAAATGTGTAGTTATATTTCTCAGACAAAGTACAATATATTCAAACTTGGATAAACTTGACTTTGCTCTCTATTTAGAAATTCTCTGGCAAGTTGTTTGGTAAAAGTTCCCTTTACTTGCCTCAAAGTATATACCGCTACTGAATTTGAATGCACTGCGGTTTTCATAGTTTACTTTAACTGAAATGTAATCTCTTTGTAAGTTTTTTTTTTTCATTTTAAGAAGTGATTAAACAGGAAATACCATACGAGCAGAGCATGCACTCTAAGGATGATATTTATAATCTTAAGCAAAGAGAACAGAGGCTAAAACAATTACTGTACATTCTTTGAACTAGCAGAAAGCAGTACTGTTCACTGATGGTATTAACTCCTGTGCCATCTCCAGTTTGAAATTAAATACAGAACTTTTTTAACTACTATTTCTGTTATTTCCTGTCCCAGGGGCCCAAAAACTATAGAACCTGGCAAACAAAATACTTCAAGATCTTATCGAAACCATTGGGTCATTTGGATTTTTTCTTTAGTTTTTGTAATATTCGGATCCACTCGTTATTCGTATTCGGAATGAATCCGCATTTTCGTTGTTTGGTTTTGGACATTTGGATGGGGTTTTTTAAAAAACAATTTTTTTGAACTTGTGAAATAATAGTGTGACCCCCCTCTACCAATCCATACCAGGCCCCTTAGGTCTGCTTAGAACTTTAAGGGCAAAATATTTTACCGCTGCCCCTCAAAAAATCCCCCCAAAAACATGGAGTCCCCCCTAAAATCCCTTACCAGACCCTTGATCTGAGCAGAGGTTCGGCAGTGCAGGAAAGGGGACGTGAGGGTGCAGCCCCCCTCCCTGCACCATACCAGGCCACTTGCCCTCACCATGGTGTAGGGTCCCCATGTGGATGAGGACAAGGTCCTCTCCCCCACAACCCTGGCCTGGTGGTTGTGGGGGTCTAGGGGCAGGGGGCTTATAGAGATCTTGGTGCTCCTCAGATGCTGCCCACCCCTCACAGGAGAATGAGTAAAGGGTAAATCTTACCCATACTCATTCGCCAAATAAACATTCAAGATTATATAAACACAAAACACAGTTTTTGACAATTACTTTATTAATAAAAAAAACATCCCAAGATGTAAATCCATCGTTGCTCACGTCATCCAGCAATGTAAATCCTCCTGATCCTCAATACCCAACGCCCGCCAAAACAAAAAAATCCTGTTGCTCACAGCCTCGACCGAATCTTTGTTTACATCAGGCAGTGAGCAGTGCTATTGGCTATTTCAAATTGCAAATTGAACTTTCTCTCTCAGTCTGCTCCTCTGTAGGAGCAATAGCCATTCTGCTATTGGCTATTTCAAATTGCAATAGCAGGATGAGTTTCTCCACTCAGTGCCTTCTGCCAATCAGCAGAGGAGCAGACCGTTCACAGAGCTGACTCCTACATTTGGTGGAGGTTGCGGGCAAAAAGTGGATCTCACTCTGCCTGAAAGATCGCTGGTTCCCACCCGTATTTTGAACTAGAAGTAGCACTGCAAGGCTTTGAATGTAGCAGCAGTTATTGACCTGCAGATTTTAAGGGGCAGTGTGTATAGGGAAAATTGATGATCCCTGCTGAAAATTGATGATCCCAAGCTTAATATTTCACTTAATGAACATACTATAAAATGTGCTTTATACGTATGTATGCATTTATATAGTATACAAATATATGGTGGAAACACCATATATACATATAATACATACAGTATATAATGAGTTGTGTAAATAAGTAACATGTAGAACATTTAACTACCGTATGTAGATAAAGGTAACTAGAGGTCATTTAAAATATGTATTTAGGCCCTATAGCTAAAGCTTAGAGGCATAAAATCGTAAACAAGTTTTCTGACCTTGGCTTAAGGAACAAAAGGTTCAATGCCAAGGCAGCTGTCCAATAACGTTGATGTGATAGCAATGAAGCAGAAAACTTGTTACCCAACAATTATATGTACCGTAGAGCAATCGGAAAGCTACTATATATTGCTACTGTGACTGTAAGCCACTAATTGCAGAAAATGAAACCACTGGATGACACCACTATCACACCACTTTTGAACAGATAGCTGACTAAGAGGCCTGGCTTTAAGAGCAGAGGGCAGGGCTGCTGGTCCCTTTTCTTTCAGAGGAACTCCAGAAAGCCTACTTGGACCTGGCCTTGGAGAAGACGAAGGACTATAAGAAATTGAAAGCCAAAATCCGATGCATGGGGATCGCATACGCTACTCGGCCTTTGGGGCGGGAGGGCCACCCTGTTCCCAGGCACAGGAACCTATTCATCCTTTACAGACATGAATGGAGCCATAAACTCTTACCGTGGCCCAGATTGTGGAGTGCTTCATAATGGACTAGTATCATTGGCTGAAATTGAGATCCCTTTGAAGGGAATAGAAACGGTCCTGGTAAGGTTGATGGTAGTGTTATCCCGATACCGATACTAGTATCGGTATCGGGACCGATACAGGGTATTTTCACAAGTACT